GGGTTGAGTTCAAGTCAAACCAATATTTAATTCAAGAATTGCGGAAATAAAGAAATCATTGAACCAGGGAGTTTCGTAGATGTTAAGACTTAAGTATGGTCTTTACTATGAATTACTATTTGTTGGACTACTGGATTTCTTTTCTTTTTTTTTACACTAATTGTCGGGCTACTGTACTTCCATTCCATCTTATCGTTGGTGATTGAAGTATTTGGTTAAAGAACAGGAATCAAAATAGTGAAACATGTTATGATGTGTATAACTTTGTATAATAATATGGTAATATTTACAGTAATAATATCAGTGTTTTACTGTTATCTTTTTTATTATTAGAGAGATATTTCAAACTAAATTTTGATGACTTATGCTATTCTAATTATATTATACTTTAATGCAAAATAGCTAAATACCTAGATAGCCCCTTAAACTTGGCATGATTTGTAAGTTAGAAACTCAAACTTAGCTCATGACTAGATAGACACCTCAACTCGTCTTATGTGTCTATTAAATATATCAATACTACATGGCAGATTGTGTTTTTTTTTGTAATATTAGACTTCTTTCTCAATCAATGTGTTCAATATAAATTCCAGCATCTTGGCCTTGATTTTTCACAATTCAGAAGCTAAAACATTATTCACATTGAAACACCAAATTTACCAACTTTCCATCTCAAAGGATCTATTGTTCAGAAGGTGCACTTCTCTCCAAACATATCAGTTTATGGTAATGAGAATATGTAAGAGTTCTCTATAATAAAAAAAGAAAATAAAAGAATTTACAAGAGTGAAGCAAGAATTATGAGAAACAAAAGAATAACAAAAACAAGTTTGACAATCCGTAAAATGTTTCCTTTTTCCTTTCAGGGGGAATTGAAGGGCTTATTTTCAACTTGAATAAGAGTTCAAATTTATCTGCTTAGTTGTTTCTATTTTGCATCTTATTACTAATGTGTTTGAACTGGAATAACTTGTGTGAATTGTTTCTTATGAAGCTTGGGACAGGATTAAGTATCTTGATTTCCAAAAGGAATCCATCCTTGGTCAAGACATTTGCATTCCTCTCATTTGGATATGTCTTCAGCTCTTACCGAGAGGTTAAATAGTGTGCATTGACTTATAGTTCTGCATCTCTTAACAAACTCTTTTGATTCCTTCCCGTTTTCTTTTCCCATTTGACTGAAGGTGTTTTATTGCTTTTGTATGTCTTAGGTGAAATCTGTTGTGCTGCATACCCTGAACCGTGCAAGATTTACAGTAGCAGTAGAATCTTTCCTAAGGACAGGTTGGTTGCAGTCTTCTCTCCCTCCACAACTCCTGCTTTCTGTTATGATTGAGCCTCTTTTCATACGATGATTTTGTTTGCTGTTAACCGACTGTCGTCACAACTGCATGGTTCATCTTACAATAGGACATTCCATCATTTTATTAACTCAAATCTAGCGAAATTATGTTTTGCCTCTTTTACCTTTTCTTCTCCATTTTGATTTCCCGTGGAGTTATCCAAAAATGTGAAAAACTTACTACGAGTGAAGCAAAGCAGGAAAGGGAAGATAAATTAACAGCCATATATCTTTTTTCTCCGAGTTGATGTCTTATTGTGCTACTTGCTCTTTAGGGAGAGTTCCAACACTGCAGGACGGAAATTCAAGGGAAGACATATTTAATTTTCCATGGAGACAGCACAGGCCTATTGTTCTTGGTAATTACAAGGAATATACATTGTTTCCTTTGTCACCTAGCCATAAATTCATCAGATATGTTCATTGTAGATTTAAACTAAATGGTTGCAGGACCCAGATTTAAAGAAGCTTTCCAAGATCCAAACTCATATCTTTCTGTCAAGCCCATATTTGAGGTATGTTTCTAGGAAGGATGAATGTCAAGGAGAGGTCTTGTGTACATAGCAAGCTTTCATCTCTTGCTTGTTATGTGGCAAAATTCTACCATTTTCTTGTATTCATGCTCATGAATTGCATGTCAATCTCGATCAACAGAAGGAGCATTATATAGTGACATACAATCCTTCCAAAGAAAACATATATGTGCTGCTCAAAGACCAAGCCAAGTCTGATGATGTACTGAAAGCAGCATTTCATGTAAGACATCTGACTTACCCATTGATGAATGTGGAACTCTTAATTTACCACACCTAATTAACTTTAAAATACAGGGCCATGTGCTTCTGCACATCATTCGTTCATGCACCAACAAACAGTCTTCCTCCAGGAAGCAACATGAAGATGAACATTCAGCATCCTTGCTATCAACTGCTGATCTTCAAGCTTATGTTGCAGAATCTTATAAAATGGTCTCTGCTTTATATATACCTTTCAAGAGCAAAGCTAAAGAACAGGTGAAGCGAAATTCGCCACTTCATTAGACTATTTCGAATATCCTTTTTGTTTCTAACTTTTAAACAAAATTGAAACATAGAGATAAATTGTTACTTCTAATTGCAGCTGAACCTTCTGTTTGTACCTATAATCACATATAATTACACTTTGAAAAAAAAACATACAAAGCTGAGGAAGAATCAGGAAGGGCTAAGGTGTAATAAACCAGAATAGCTGAGTTTTCAATCTCATTCCTTTAGTTCCTGCTCCTCCTCCGCTCCTCAGTAAGAAAAGGAAAACAGAGTTAGGAAATAAGAACTGGAGTATCGGGTGTCTTTTGCACGGAGGAAAATGTTCTCCAATTTTCCTAGGTTTGGTTGGTCAAAGATGTTTTGGAGAACATTTTCTCTAGGAAAACAAGTTCACGGAAAATTAGTTCAATAAGTGGCATTCCGTGATGATTATCTCCTTCCCAACTCCAAAATCTTTCTCCCCACATAGCTCAGACCCTATATCCCTTCCCCCAAATCCTTCACCCCACACACCTCACCTCCACTCCCATAGTCTTTGTCTAAAAGTATATAAAAATTCTCTTGGGACAATATTCTTTATTTTTTTTTACCAAACACTAGAAAATAAGTAACATATCCTAATTGCCACTAGTTATGAACGTTCATGGACACGCAATTATACATGTAACAAATCCTAATTGCAAAATATTGATGGAACTAGCTCCAGTGGGAATGACAGTAGTTAATTCACTGTTAGTCTGTTCTGCCAAATTGATTATGGTATACTTGCACCAGAGGCTGTTCCTTTTATTTAGTTATGCAGGTTATTGATCATTTTACATCTTGCAGGGTTGGGTGATGTCGGAATCACTACTTAATCCTGGCCGAGCTCGGCTTTGTGAAATGACCACACATGATACATAGCTGTTGGAGTTGGTTGCAGAGGAACTACAAATAAATTTGTTTACTGAAACAATTATTTTGCATGGCGCCCGCCAGTGATGGGCATTGCAAGAGGTTTGTGCATCTATAGTGAAATGAGGTCAGAGATCTGAAGTAACTACCGGATATTTATCCTCATTGCAACTCACTACATGTTCTTTCGACTTTTTAGTACGATGGTTTACCTGTGCATCAGCATGTAGCTATTAGCGTAAGCAAGAAAGGTGCATTCCGCGAAAGAGATTTCAGTATACTTGTTTATTCTGCCATAGTCTTTTCTTCTTTCTTGCATATATATTTTCAGGGGGAGGCGGGTTCCCCTGCCGTTGAGATACGCTTCTACCCCCAGTTTCCTGTTTTTCATACTTTTTTTAGCTAAATGTAATGCAATATCTTCATCTGGTGTTCCTTTTTGCTTTTCAATTATGGAAGAAGAAGCAAACATGAGGAAAATGCTACACACAAGTACCCTCTAAACCCAAATAAAGGATGATGTTTACAAGTGGTATTTCACATTGGTTGTGCTCTTCTTGCCCTCTAACACACCTCATTTCCAACCCATCATAGTAGCCCTCATCTCCACCATTTCACACCCTACCTTTCATAAGATTAGCTTAGATCATAGACAAGTACTTCAATATTTTTTTGCTAATATGTCGAACACAAGAAAATAAATAAGAAATTCAAGAAAAACATTCTTCGTACCAAGCACACCCTATGCATGCAGAATTTCTTTGTTGTTTCTACTCTTGATTTTACATTAAAAGAACTACTTGTATTCTTGGAGACTGTATAGACAATTTAGTTTCATAGGCCAAATAAAAAAATATTGAAAAATCATAAAACTTGAAATAATTACATGTTCATATATAAATTCATAGACTGATTATTTTTGTTTGGCTCAGCTTAAAAGCTGATCAAACTAACTTAAAAGCTAGTTTCTGACTTATTTAGCTGTTTGACAATACTCAAAGTAACTTATTTTAAGTTTTAAAAAAACTAATTTTAAGCCAAAAGTTAAAAGCTGGAATAGGAGTGCTTTTTTTTTTTAGCTTATAAGTTGTTTTAAGTTGACCATATTTTTATTTTTTTGCCCTTAATATTTTTATACAATCTCCAAATTATTCACATAACCCTAACATCTCTTTCTTTCATTTTTCCCGCTTTTATCAAACCCATCCAAACAGGCCACTAAAACTTTTGCTTGATAATAAATTAGTATATATATAGACAATACATTAATTGTATATTATTTAGATTTTGTATATATTTGTAGTTATTTTGCTTTTATAAGCTAAAGTAATTGCTTAGTTTCCACAAATATTTTTAACTTGAATTGGTGGGGTGCGCCAGGCCTGGGCTGTAGTGCAAAGCCTAGGCGACGCATGAAGACCCAAGTAGCAAGCTACTTTGATGGACCTCCCCCTTAAAAAATTGAGTTAATATCGTGTGAGTCAATGACCCACATATCAGATATTAAACTGATAAGAACAGATACTACACTTGATCTTAGCCAAAAGGCCGAGAAAGGTATACCTTACTCAACTCACAAATCTCGTCTTTTATATTACCTCTCAACTCTCTACTTCTCATTTCCTACTGATGTGGGACGACAAACGCTTAACAATATCTTTTTTTCATTTCGAGGTATATATGTGAGTTCAATTCTCATTGTTGACTGACACCAAACACACACACATTGTACATTCATACAACTTTAATGTACCAAATAACCTTAGTTATGTGAAAAATAGTTTTGAGATTTTAAGAATTAACACAACACTAGTATAGCCAAAAGCCATATTACAACCACTATGTATGTACTTGAGAAGTCACATTAACCAAAAAAAAACCAAGCTTATCTAAAATGGCTAAGGTGTGAGAAGAAACAATGAGAGAACACCACACTTGACAAAAGTTCAAAACTCCAGAAAATTTTCTAGCTCTCTCACATGACTGTGTTAATCGTTGATCTTGCAGCCTCTTTCTTCATCTCCGCGGCTTTTCCACTCCCTCTGAAATACGTGAACACTTGCTGCATATTGTAGATCATGAAAAGGGTCACGTAAGAGCAGAGACGGGTTCAATATCTATTGTATATACATAAAAAAGAAGAAGATATTTTTAACCAAGTGTACACATGAGAGAAAATGACAAATATAATCCGGTCTAAACCTGAATAACCCATATGCTGATCACTGATTCAAGAGCAAAGAGTCCAGCACCAATGAAGTATAATATCTGCAAGTAAAATCAAGGTTTAATGGCTGGATTCGACATTCATCTGATCGCGTTAAGTTGAGAAGACGTTTGATTTGTATGAAAATTCGACATAGCCTTACCCCAACTATCGAATTCCAGCCGATAATATTAATTGCAATTATGAAACCACTGTTGAACCAAAGAATGTAAAAAAGGAGTTAGTCAAAAAGGGCAAGCTGATACAGACACCACGATCATAGAAAAAGGACGAGAAAAAAATCCAAACTTACGTAATGGAATTCTGCCTGAACACGAATGGAGGTGCTGCTGTGGCTAAGACGCAGAATACAATGTGAATCTACAATACATAAACAGACACTCAAACTTGACTTCTAACTGACAAGTAAGTGCAAAAAAATGAAATGAAAAAGACGAAGAGTGTGTGTTCACCGCATAACAAAAGAAAAACCACCCAAAATTCAGCGCGCTATCAGTCCTGCAAACAGAATAGATATGAGAAAATAGTCACGGACATGTATAAGAACATTACAAAATTATGAGAAAACAATAACAATATAATACCTCATCGCGCGATAAAGAGGACGATACCACAAAAAGTAGGCTGATGGAATACCTAAGAAGTAGATAAGACCGAAAAACCATGCGCCAACGTCTATAATGATACATAAAAAGGTTAAGTTAGATAGTTGATTTATACTGATCGTCACTCAACTAACAGTTATTACTATCTCAGAAAGTCGTGTTTAGTTGAGTGACCATTTGAGATATCGACTCTGAAGGATTAAAAAGATTGTAAGATTTTAGTTTCGCAATAACCTCCTCCTTTGATCCACATACAGGCGGTTGACACAATGTTCCATACCATACAACCCGCCAAACCTGCAATTCAAAAAGTTTGAAGTTAAAAGATATCAGAGCAGACAAAGGTCACGAGTTTGAGTCTCACCAATTATGTTTTATCAAAAAAGTAATTTCACGTGCTTGATTCAATGAAAAGAAGAATGAAAGTCAACATGTGAAGGGGCGTGTTGAGAATATTCCTGAAAATCAACGTACCTAACAATGTAGTGAAGGCAACATACTGAATCTTTTGTAGATGGATTGGAATTTCATTCGCGATATCATGATGAATGATTGGGAGGAACGGTGGCCAATTACGATGCTCTATAACAACACCAGCTGTTGAAAGAAGACGGAGAGATCAGATATAAAAGAACAAATTATTCGTCGAATAAAACTTTGATTATTAGCTCAAGAGCTACAATGGAGAAAATGTGTACCTCCTGCTAAAGCTTCTTCTCTCCTTCTCACATCCTGTAAGAAACAGAGAATTACTACTGCGTAAACTTCTTTTAATGTGACGGATCAATGTGTCCAGACTCTACAAAAATGTTGTCATACCAATGTCGGATTCTCTAAAATGCACTACTTTAAGAGAATCCGACACGCACACATGTTGCCATTATAGAAGAGTCCAAGCAACAAAGCTATATAAAGTGCTAGGCAAGCCTACCTCTTCTCTTCTTTTCAGATCAGTCTCTCTAGCTTGTAGGTCCTTCTCTTTCTTCTTCAAATCCTGAATAGTTACGCGAGTTAAAAAGGGATCATTAAACTGTAGTCTCACAATGAAACACACGATTACTGTGTTCATTCGTAAGCTAAATATACAAAGTTCAAGTTGTCAACTAACTAATCTCACCTTTGCACTATCAAGAGGAATATCGACTGTTGAAGCACGAGCGGAGCTCCCATTCTGAACATTTTAGTAAGTAAAATGATGCATTAGCAAGGTATGCAATGAAAGTAAAGAAGCTCCTAATTAAGGGCAACCCGATTCACAAAGCATCCCGTGTTTACACAGGGTCCGAGGAAAGACACACCTGAAGGGAGTTTAATGTAGGCACAACTACTATGAAACAAGCATTAATTACTTATTCCATTGCTCGAACCAGTGACCTAGAGGGCATACAGGGGACGACTTTACCATTACTCCAATATCGTGTTGTATAAGGTTCATTAAAGAGGGAAACACTTCCTATCAAGATTTTTTCCATTCCAGGGCTCGAAAACAATAGATTTTCAAACAAAAAATGATTTTTTTTTAATAAAACAATATTTTAACTCCATGGGCATTTAACAAGACAAAAGGGCAACCATAAAAAAAATGAAAACCACACCACCAACATGAACAACACTTTCCTCTAAACTACAAATCAAAACAACAACAATGTATCAAAATTACTCAAAAGCGGGGGTAGAGTGTACAAACACCTTACAACTACCTCGAGGAGGTAGACATGTTGTTTCCAAAAGAACCTCAGCTCGAGTAACGAACATCATAGCATCTAACGGAACAATACAAAAGTAAAGAGGACATAGAAAATAATAACGAAAAACATAACATACCAAAAAGGGGGCAACAACCATATATAACCAAATAATGTGATAACTGAAACACAATAATTGAACGAGGAATAACAAAGACAACTACGAGTCAAATGCAAATACTATCAGAAAACAGATACAATGCATTCATCTATCGTGCTAGAGACATACCGCAAACGGATTTACATTAGCTTCTTCTGCAAAAGGATTATCATTAAAGGCCATTTTTTTGTTCAATAATTAAAAAAAAAAACTCTATGCTCTTAAAAGCAAACCCAAAAAATGCAACAGAAATATATAAATATATGCAAATAATAATAATAATAATCTGTAGCACTAATTGGGGATGTAGAAAATGTGCATTGATCACACAATGCACAATTATTATTGAATTAAATTAAGAGTCATTAGTGAATATTTGTTTTCTTTGTAATTTTCTGTTATGAAATTTTTGTTTATCATTCATTTGGTCATTTTTTTGCCTATTTTTAAGCAGAATAAATTGGGGGAATTTATGTATGAGAAAAAATGTATGAAGGTATTTGCGGGTGTTCACAGGAAAAATTTTTGGAGGGATTTATGTAAGTTTGAAGATTTTGGATAAGTTTGATTAGTTGAGATGTGTGAGACTCACCTAATAATAAAGTTAATTAATTAATACCTATAAAGATTTTATCCTTCGTTGTTATTGTGTATATTAATTGTCGCTAAAAGATGTTTTGTTGTAGTATGAGATAGTGGCAAGGTCTGTGTACAGTCTATCCTCACGACACCAAGGCTTATGTTTAGCGGCAATTGATTAATGAGAATAACTTAATTATAACTAAATATGTATTTTTAGCGGTAATTAGTACTCTTTGTAAATGTCCCTAAAACCTTCATCCACATTGGATCGGATGAGAATTAACTAATATTAGTAAAGGTTTTAGCTCCCTAATTTGTTAATGTATATATTTATCGACACTAAAAGTTATTTTTACCCTAGTGCCTTCGTAGACACTCTTAATTAGTGGAACTTCATAGAGTATGTTGTTGTTGTTCCGACACATCCAATCATGGAATTGTTGGTTCGAATCACCAAGAGAGTAGCTCTTAAGGAGGGACAAAAGAAAAAATGTCTTAGTTTGATTGGACGAAATTTAATGAAAAAAATTCGAGTAATCATATCTTAAATATGTGTGTGATGTACTAAAATGTTCTTTGAATCTCTTTTGCTAATAAATTATAGGGTAAAACCTCAACACCAACGCAAGGGCGGACCTATAGTGGGTCAAACCCACTTCACTGAAAAATACTACAGTATATATACGTATGTTATATCAATTTTTAAATTTTATATGTATATATATTAACTTTTGATCCCACCGACACAAGTGTGACCCTTGACAGAATGTTAAAAAGGGTTCAATTTTTCTATCCAACCTGAGTTCGAATTCCGTCACTGCACCGACACAAACAAAGATCAACACTTGAAGGTAGGAGGGAGAGATCATTGGATTCAACTTCCATTGGTGATAACAATTCCTTCTTGAAAAACGTATATACAAGACGAAAAATACTTTTATAATAATAATAAAAAAAATAGTTACTTAATCCTTTTGATTTCTTTGTGTTTTTACTTCTTTTATGTTTTAGAACAACTTACAAAAATCCTAGTTCCATATAAAGAAGGGGTTGGAATAAGAAAGCCAGTGTTCAAATCATATTACACTATAATGTAAATACAATAACAAGTTCCTCAAGGTTAAAAAGCCCTCAAGTTTTAATGTATGAGTGGACATTTTTCCTAACAAATATCTACTTACACATAGAGTTTTTTGTGATTGTGACAACCATAAATTTCAATGTCATATCTGTATTGTTGTCAACTGGAGCTATGACTAGTAGAAGTTGAGGCTGATCTTGAAGGAGACGCGTCGTTTTGGTGATGAAGGGGTTGAGATGTAGATTCCATAGGAGAAGGCGCGGGTACAGGATGTGCGATGAAGGTAGGAACTTCTTCCCCAGGCATCAGTACTGATACTCCATTCACGTAAAAAGTCATCTGTAAGTATTAACAGAAGAACATTATATAGACGTCTCCACATATGTAGCTTAGAATCATCAACGAAAGAGAATGAAATTTAAGTTATATACACTGTCACTGTCAGTATTAAAATTTCAGCGAAGATAAAAATGACAAAACTATTCGATATCTGCTAGTTGCTAAGGGAAAATAGCAGGTACCTTGTAGAGTTAGTAAAAATACACACAAGTTTAATCGAACACCGCGATTATAAAAAAGAATATTGAATCCCAACATAAGCTCATATGTCATCATGGCCTCCAAAGTCAAAATATGGTGGGATGTCATTGGAAGCTATAGTTTCTCTTTCAACAAGATGCTGGGACAAGAATGACAATTTAAAAAACTATTGTTCTGAATAACTCTTTGTATAAAATAGCATATCATGGGGCTTTAATGTCTTCTAATATGCATAAAAATGGGACACACACAACATGGGCTTCAACTAGAAAAACCTTTTTCTAAAAAGTCTTTTATACTTGGTAGTGTACCATGCAGAAAACACAATGGGGGCCATCATGGCAACCTCTTGTCTAATAAATATTTGGAATGAGATGTTTCCAATAAATTTAAGTTCATTGATAAAAATTATGAGTCTCTTTGAGTTAGCTGATTAAAAATAATCGATAAGTATTAAGGTATTGAAGTTGAATTATGAGTCTCTTTGTCTGCTATGATATTATGTTGAAGCGTGTGACTATTTCATCTAAAAATTTAAGATATTAGAGATAACACATTTTTATTATTTTATTATATCCTCAATACCCTTCCCCACGTTCGGGCCTGATTGTTTTTCATAAGTCAAGCATGTGAAAATTATTTTTGACATGAGTGGCCATGAAATTCACTCTCAGAATCATTGTCTGCTCTAATATCATGTTGAAGCATGTGACTATATCATCTAAAAGCTTAAGCTATTAGAGAAAAGACACTTATATTATTCAATTATATTTTTAATATAATCCTCAACAAATGCATTACCTTTAGAGAATTTAAAATGTACCTGTTCATATTTTTAAAAAGTCCAAATAACATATATCATTAATATCAATATGATAAAAGAATGTTGATCAGCATTTTTTCTGCTAAAATATGTGAAATATTCTTAGAAACTATTTACAAAAAAGTTGGTGAAAAAGGACTATAACTAAAACAATACTAGGGATAAAACTATAAAAAAATTAAAAATAAATTAGAACTAAGAAACTTGAACATAGAACTTAATCACTGAGCCAACTTTTAAAATTCAAAAATACCTTATATAAAAATCATGTATTTTTTTATCGAAGAGATAAAGTGAACATCCTCACCCCCTCTTAAATCCGCCCCTAATCTCATCACCCTATATTTTGTGATAATTGACACATTCTCTTTTCCGATTTAAGCATTTGTTATTCGAAGCTTGTGAGTCTCACTAATTCAGAGTTCCGTCAAATAAATTATGAAAAACTCTTATGTTTAACTAATATAATGTTAATTAACTTTTTCTTTTTTTTGTCTTAGGTTTAAAGTTAGATAAATTGGATCAAAAATTCAAAATAAATTTTCCAAGGACATGATGATCAAGAATGATTCATTTTTTACTAAGGTCTACAAAATGATAATTATGAACAGAATCACATTCAAATAATACAGCTATAAGTTATTATTGTAATAGTCATAATTATGTGAGACGCAATAATGACAGTAAGAAAAAAACAATTAACTGTCACAAAAAGTTAGTTAGCCTAATCATTGCGGTCCTTGAAAATAAAGTATTCCTATTTTAATTTATGCGTCTTAGTATGATCGAGACAGTAACATAATTTAATATTAAAAAGGCTAAAATATTAACTTATATTTTTTTTTGTTTATTTTTACTTGTTCATATTTGACTTGATACATCTCTTAAAAGAATATTGATAAAATGATAAATTTATCATATTACTATTTGAATATAATAAATATATTTTGAAATTAATTAAAAACCAAACAATAAATAATTTTTTTAATTTTCTAAATGAACAATTAAAAGTATCAACTCTTTTAATAGGATTTTAACTAATATTTTAAGATTATTTTTTATCATATTAATATGTTAAAAAAATTGCAATTTATAGTACTTTTTATAAAAAAAAATTAATATCTAATTTTTTTTAAAAAATATATAATATCAATATAATCTAAATTAATTTTAAAAATTAATTAAACTGACTCTCAAAAAGCACAGGAAAAACATATACTAATAAATAGCCAAATAAAAATAGACAAAGAGTGTGTAATAAATATTTCAATTCATCTAGGAAATAATACTTGGTTTAATTTTCCATAATTAGTAACTCTAACTTTGGACTTCTCATTTTATCTCAACATCACGATAAATTAAGTTTTAATTTTCTTAATTAAACAAATAAAAATAGATATTTAATGTTTAATATAGGAACAAGAAATAAAAAATGGACCAAGGGTATAATAAACATTTCAATTCATTTATGAAATAATACTTTCTCTAATTTTTCATGTTCAAAATTTCTAAACTTTAAACTTCTCATTTTATAATGATAATGCAATAGATTCTCTTTTATTGTGTTTTTAGCTTTTAAATTTAGTTCAAAACAATAATATGCAACATAATAAAAAAGATATTGATTATTTTTTAAAAAAATTCCACACTTATTTAGTTGAGAAAATTTTTACATAATCAACAATAATAATAACAACAAATTTAATGTAATCTCATAAATAAAATCTAAAAAGATAAAACACATCTAAATCGTACCTCTAGCTTAGTAGATTTTACATAACCAAACCATTTTAATGAGAATGCAAATAGAAAGGAGTAACATATTAAATTACAAGTCCTAATCCAACTCTCGATAATCAATTAACTTAGCTACTAAAACTTCTTTCGTAAATTAATATTAATTTTGATATATGAGAATAAAACATTTCGTTAATTCATAACTTAATTATTTAATTAAATAATATCATATAAAACGAAACGAATTACACACATTGCGTCTAAGTAAAAAAGTGAGAAAATAAAAGCATACCTCAGGAGAAGGATAATCAAGTTTCCTCTGAACTCTCATTTGATCGGAACTATTCCGATCACCACCGGAAGACGACGGTCTTCGCCGGAGAAATCTTTCGAAAATCGCCATTACTAAAAACATAGAAATAAGAATAGCAGTCGCAACGAAACCAAACGATACAGCATTTACAGAGTTGTCAAAGTTTCTCCAGTGATCTCCTTCTAGTTCACCACCACCATTTGTTTCTGCCGGAGCCATACTCGGCGGTGGCACGATTCCCCAAAAATCAATACCACCATTAATTTGTCGTCTTCCCATTGAGTAAAAACAAGGTAATCTCTTTCTGTATCATCACCAATTGACACAAAATGTTAGCTCATTGTTGCACTCTATGTGTTTGATATTTTGCCTGAAAGAACTCAAAAAAAGAGATTGAAGCTACAGTTCCAGAAACAGGTAAAGACCCAGTTTTTCTTTCCTCCAACAAGACTGTAGGAGGTAGTGGTGATGAATTTGAGGTGGGTTTTGTTGTTGCACTCTAACTGTTTGATATTTTGTCTGAAAGAACTGAACAAAGGGTTTTGAAGCTATAGTTCAAGAAACAGAGAAATACCCTTTACTTGGTTGATGAAAATGGAGATGTGGGGAGGTGTAGTGTGTAGTGATGATGGATTTGAGGTGGGTAACTTTCAATGAGAAAAGTTGGTTAGTTTAATTTAGTATTAGCTTGGAAAAGGTAAAGCTTTTCTTGGGTTCTTGTAGAAGTGGACAAAAGAGTGAGGGAGAAGAAAAAGCTTTTAGCTTTGGGATGGGCAAATGGTGGAGGATAAAAAGGAAGACTATAGTAGATAATCAAGGTATAATGACTAGTTTGTTTAGGAAAAATGTTGTTTAATTTGAAGGTATCTATGGTTACTTGGGAAAAAAAAGGGCATTATACATAGATGGGAAAAGGACAAATATACCCTTGGATTATCGCAAATTGTATGTAAATATCCCCATCATACTTTTGAGATATTGTTGTCCCTGCCGTCAGAAAGCTAGAGCACGTACTTCCTTCACTCTAACGGAAGACTAAATAGGGACATGTGGCGCAATCTTATCGGTCGATATGATATTTAATAAGTTGTTGTTAGTGGATAAGATTATGACACGTATATGTCCGTTAGTATAAACGGTATGTATATTCTAGTTTTTGAATGGCATGGCACCAATGTTTTAAAAGTATAACGGAAGATATCCGCATATACCATTTACAATAGTGGATATATTTGTCTTCTGTAACTAAAAAGACAGATAAATATCTTTTGATGAGAATGTAGATTTAGGCACTTCAACTTTTATTGTTGTGTTTTGTGGATATTTGATATTAACATGACACATAAATTCTGAATGTGTTTAACTAATTATTTTATAAGTTGAAGTGTTTAACTGATACAATGTAATCCTAAAGACTCATGATCTATAACACTACTTGATACTTGGTCTATGATACCATCTATAAAGAAGTGTTGTAAGGCCAAACAAATTGATGGTGTGACTACTAATATATATGACGAATAAGGAGATATTGATAAGGGGGAATATATAATCTAATTAATACAATACAAGTCACAAACTATGAACTTTATGAGTACACATATTATGAATTCTAATAATTTCTACAATTTTTTAGAACAAACTTTAGACCGTTGGACATACATAGTTTATAAAGTTCTTTATTAAGATTTTTCATGGAGAAGACATTTTTCAACTACTCCATTCATTTTTGTTGCTAGTTGTTTTATAATCATTATCAACTACCATCTTTTATCGATCACAATGCTATTTTTAATCACAATTATTATAATCGACATTCAGCACAATGACTTATCGTCACTAATAACTGTCATTTACAATTACAATCACCAACCATCGGTATCACAGCTACCAACCATCACCATCATCACAAAACATTATTGATCACCATACTATTTTTAACCACAATTATTATTATACTCGTTTATTACAGCTAGTCGTCACACCATTAACTACTCATCGTTTAAAATTACAATAACCATCACTATCACAACTATCAACAGTCACCATCACCAGTCTTCACTATTAATCATCACAAACATTATCAATTACCATCATTTACCACAAATTACCACCATTCCAATCATTACTGTCAATCACAAGCTACCATCTACAGTCTGCTTTCATAACCATCGTTAATATTAGACATCATCACCATCGGTCATTATATAAAATTTTCTTCAAATTTTTATATAATAATATTTTAATACATTAAATCCATCAACTTTGAGTATTAAAATTCTAAATATAATTTACCCCATAATATTGTACCCAAATCTCCACTACACATCCCCTCTATCACGTAAACCATTTTACACATCAAATCTTTTCAAAAGTACATTAAATATAGTACCCATTTTTGCTCGATCGACTAGATGCCTAGGCCTATATATAATCCCTTAGAATGTGACAAATAATAAGAGACAAATACAAAACTATGTATTAATTAAATAACAAATGAGCATCTCAACCAAGTACTGTTTAATGTTATCGTGACAGGTGCATTATTATTATTATTATTATTATTATTAGAAGAGTGATCTCTCTCAATACTTCTTTGTCGTTTCTAAAATTGTCTTTTTTTGGCACATACTGCAAAGTCAGAAATTTGACAATTGGCTCTCTTTTTCTGGTTCTATTCATCATATTTGACATTATGTTACACCAACCACAATTATTTCGTCATAGATAAAATTATTTCTCTCTTGATTAAAATTTTAATTATTATTTTTAGTACGAAGCGTATCCTTTTTCTAACTTCTAAGGAATTCAGCCCATCCATAATTGCCTAAAATTTGAATTAAATCCTTCAAGGATAAAAAAAAAAGAATAATAATTTAAATTGTTGAATTTCAATCGACGATAGCAAATCACATTGGCATTTGTTTTTGCTTTTAAAATGATGCACATAAGAGGGGAAGAAGATGATGTTTTTTTTATAAACAAATCTTGTTTCTTTTTCTCCATTCATTTTTTAATATATATTCAATAGTATTTTTCTTTTAATTTCAATATTTTGCATGGTATATGTTAAGGTCATAAGATTGAAAAATATTTTAATACACTATATATATTTTTGAAATATGATCACAAAATATAAAAGACGGATTATATTTTTTATAAAGTCGATATTCAATTAAGTTATGACAAATAAAATATAATAGAGGGTGCAGAGACAATTGCACAACCAAAGTTGAAAAATAAGTGATATGTATGAACATTTTCTCCTAACACAATGACATAATAATGAGTTAAACTTTTAATATGGACTTTTCTTTTCTTTAGTTCGATGATATATTAAAAAAATTTCTTGTTATAAAAAATAGATTATTCGTGAGTCAAGTATAAATACAAAATTTAAATTTAAATTAATCAATTTTATAAAACTCGTAAAGAGATTAAGCGCAATTAACGTGACACGTGGCCAGTTGGTTCCCTCAGACAATGAAACTATAACTGAAACAACTGGTAAAGTTACGCTAATTTAGTGGACACGTGGCATATTATAATTGGCTCATCTCTAATGTTTTTTTATTAAAAAGAAATAAGAAATTTAATTTAATTATTTCTAAATCAAAAAGTATTTGCTAATCTTTTTTAAGAACAAACTATGCAGATTGTTGTGTCTCCTTCAAGTTGTTCTTAGCTTGAAATTGAATTTTAATTTATATATAAATACTAATTACTTTCAAAGAAGCTGAAATTATAATTTGATCATAATTTCATACTCCAAGACTGTAAATAATCTTTTCCGTTTATTAAAATAAATAATTTGATATATCTCTTTAACTTTGTTATTTAGATCTGATATATCGAAAGTTTGAAAAAAACTTACTTGTGTAATTGTTAAAATTTTGCTTATTTATGTCATTATCTTTTGTGAAAGACTCATTCATGTCATTATTTGTTAACTAAAAAAAATAATTTTCATTTCGCAAATTCTTTTTTTTGGCACGTGGTCAATTATGATTCAGCCACACCATTAATTGAATAATTGTTTTGAAAAGGAAAAAAGTGTTTAAATATGTCAACTTTGAGAGAAAAAAACTTATTTATGTACATTAGTTAAAAGTTCGACTCATTTATGTCATTTCAGTTAACAAATAATGAAATGAACTGATTTTTTTTCTCAAATAGAAATATACTCTCTCCATCCTCTATTTTGTGTTATGGTTTCTATTTTAGAGTCAAACTTTATGAACTTTGACCAACATTTTAAGATGAATTTATTCATCATATTGATATGCAAAAAATTGCAATTTATAGTACTTTTCATATAGTTTTTGAATATCTAATTTTTTTAAAAAAATATCGAATTAATATAATCTAATTTAACTTTTAAAATTAGACAAGTTAACTTTCGAAAAGCATAACATGACAAATAAACCTTTTGTCAAAATTCGATAACATATCAGATGAAAAGAGCGACCAACATAGATCGTGATGAATGATTAAGATTCCTCCACCTCTAACTAGTAACTTTTAGTTCTAAATCCTATATATATATATGTATATATTTATTATTAAAAACATTATTTCTAAAACTAAATCATATTATATATAAATTTGACTTAAATCAATCTTCGATATAAATATTCGAGAGAAAAAAAAGTGAAGTAGGAGGATTTGGACCACCAAGAAAAAGACGAAAGACCCGTGCAAGTCGGGTCACGTGATCGGGTCCAACTTTTATTTCTCTTATTTGCTTTCTCTTCTTTTCATGCTTTGATAATTTACAACAAACAAAAACCCTCAACACTTTGATCCCGAATAATCATCGAAGAATATGATAAAATGAATAAGATTAATTAATTAAATATAATTTTTTTTAATACGAAGCATTTTATTTTTGAATGAGTAATATCAATAGGGTGGTAAATTAGTGGATTATTACTATAATAAAAATGATTATTTGCGGCATTTAATTTTTAATTGTCACTAAATATGTATTTTTAGCGGCAATTGTCACTCTTTGTATATGTCCCTAAAAAGCCTTTAGCGACATTGGTTCTAATGTCACTTAACTAATGCCGGTAAAAACGTTAGCACTCTTTATTAGTGTCAACATTTAATGCCGCTAAAAATTATTTTTATTGTAGTGATATCTATAGTAAATGAAGGACCTGGTATAATCAAAATAATTTTAATTAGTTATACGTAGCTTCGAAAGAAAAGTCAATGTAACATTTGCCTTCAATGTGTATATCGATTGTCAATTCTATTTTCGATAAGGATATACGATAGATAATTTTGACTATTATTTGATAATAGTGTAAACAAGCCAAGATGAAATATAGTCAAGTATCCAATTTCATAACACAAGAATGGCTACAAAGCTCTTTTTCCCCTTGTTCCTCTAATGGTTCAATTAAACTTCTCCATCCATTCCCATTTGTTGTTGTTTCAAAAACATGTACTTCACTTCTTGTTCTTGTTATGTAGTTATCACCCAACATATTTCTATAACCAGCCAAAAAGTACAACTTTGTCCCTATAGGAGCCATAGTGCAAAACATTCTTTCCAAATTTGGCCAATTATTGTGTGTGTCATCTAATATAGAAATTGGTGAACTTGAACCATCCACTATGTACCATAAATTGTGTTTCCCATCATAGGACTCAATATGTCCCTTCCATGTGTTTAAACAATCACCTGAGCTATAGAGCTTCCCATCAATATTCACTATTTGATTAGGTGGCACATCTAGGTCCCACATCCTAGCCATGTAATCCCACGTGTCGCGATCTGGATCGTACACTTCAGCAGAACTTCTTTCCATAATGTAGGGTCCTTGATGAGTATCATGAGTGTTTTCTCTTCTGGCAAATCCCCCCACTACATAAAATTTCTCTTGCCATAACACACCAATACACTTGTACCTGTTGAGACATAATATAATCGAGTAACTTTCTAAATAATGATTTTTTGATAAGATGGTTACGCAACTCAATATGTATTATATCAAGATTTTCACTCACCTAGCGATTAAGTACCATTTGTAACCATCGTGGTCCATGTATACTTATTGTATAACAAGTACTGATGATTTTATATGCTATATATACATTATTGATAATATATATGCACATATTATGGAATGATTTGGCTAAAATTTTGGAAAAAAAAAGAAAGAAAGAAGAGGAACTTTCACATAGAGTCACTAAAAAATAACCTAATTATTCTACATAGCTATAGTTTAATAATGCAATTCGTAGATACATGTAATAGGTAGGAGGAGAGGCGAGCGAGACTGGAAGATAGAGGAA